TCTCTCTCTCTCTCTCTCTCTCTCTCTCTCTCTCTCTCTCTCTCTCTGTGTGTGTGTGTGTGTGTGTGTGTGTGTGTGTGTGTGTGTGTGTTCAATACAGGAGGGACTCAGTCGGGGAGACTGGGAATAAATGAGCCCCACCATGGGGAAATGAGAGGCTTGGCTACCTGCCCCTCCACAGACAGTCCTGGGTGGGTGGGGGACCACAGACAGTGCCTGCTGCAAATCTCCCTTGCAAGTCACCCTCCCCCACGGGCCGTCCCCTTTTCCACACCCCCTCAACAGTCCAGAGCTCGTGGTCTTAGTAACAGGACTTCTGACTGTAATCCTAGCACGTCAGTTTGTTGAAGGCAAACACGTGGTTTGGGGAGCACTTATAAATCTCTGCTCCGGGCAGGATCGTGATGTTATCTGCTGGCAGCAGAAGGTTTGCTCGGAGCGGAGCTGCTGAAGCTGCCGGCGGGACAGTAGGGGGGAGAGAAAAGAGTGAGACAACAAGCAGAGAGCTGAGCCCTAGGGCAGGCGACAGGGATGGAGAGCAGAAGTATTACGGTTTAAGGAGCCGTTCTGGAACAACCCAGCTGCAGACAGAAGGTATCAGCAGAGATCTATTTTAGGGTCGCAAGTACCGACTTACCCTAAGCGAGAAAGTGCAAGCTTGGTGGAAGGCAGGGGAGGCTAGGGAAGGGCACGAGTCCCGGGACACCCCGCAGCCACCGCGCCCAGGAGGCGGTGTTGTTCCGCAGCGGGCGAAGGAGGTGGCGGATCCCTGTAGCCCCCGTGGCCGCCTGGAGCAACAGAAGGAGGATCTGCAGGACCGAGCTGGAGGCCGGCCCTCTTTGCAGGCAGCGGCGGCGGCTGCAACGTGGAGCGTCCCAGCCGGGTGTAGGCCACAGCGCGGCCGGCAGGAGCGGGATCGTCGCCGCCTGCCCCGGGCCTCCCTCGGCGGATCTCCCGGGCGGACAGTACCCCACCAAGCCTCCGAGCGAGGCTCCGCTCCGGGACGCATCTGCCTCCCCGCGGCTCGCCGGGCTCGCCCTCCGCGCGCGCACACGCACGCGCGCACACGCGCGCCCATCCACACGCACACTCATCCACACACGTGTGGAAGGCAGGGCCGAGCCGCTGGGTCTTTGAACATCTCAGTTAGAGCCCGGCGCAGCCCCGGCCGCCGCTCAGCGCTCCCCGCGGCCCTGCGCACCTCCTGCTAGCCCCCGGACCTTCTCGTCTCTTCCCTTTTGGCCGGAGGATCCGAGTTCAGATCCGCCGCTCCGCACTCGAGCCTGACACACTGAACTCCATTTCTTCCTCTTAAGTTTATTTCTACTTCAGAGCCACTCACCCCCTCCCTCGCAGGGGAAAAAAACAAACCTTTCTTACCCCTTAAAGTGCGAGGTCTCCCCCTCCCCCCCTTGAGCATCGCATCTTAGTATCTCCACGTTGGGAACGCGTTGCATTTTCTTCTTTGAAGGAATCCCAGCCAGGGACGGTTTTTTCTATTGGGCATTGACTTTCGACTGCTTTGCAAAAGTTTCGTATTAAAAAACAACTCTACCTGACCCGCTCTGAGAATTACTGGTTTCTTTTTAAAAATTTTTTTTTCTCTTACTTTAAACAACAACAGCAGCAACGTTTCCACCTTTTAAAAACATGCACTACTGCGTGCTGAGAACCTTTTTGCTCCTGCATCTGGTCCCGGTGGCGCTCGGTCTGTCTACCTGCAGCACCCTGGACATGGACCAGTTTATGCGCAAGAGGATCGAGGCCATCCGCGGGCAGATCCTGAGCAAGCTGAAGCTCACCAGCCCCCCGGAGCACTACCCTGAGCCGGGCAAGGTCCCCACGGAGGTGATTTCCATCTACAACAGTACCAGGGACTTACTGCAGGAGAAGGCAAGCCGGAGGGCAGCCGCCTGCGAGCGCGAGCGGAGCGACGAGGAATACTACGCCAAGGAGGTTTATAAAATCGACATGCCGTCCCACTTCCCCTCCGAAAGTAAGTACAGCTTCCGTGGTTTTCTCCTCTTCCAGCCGGCTCTACGGTTGGCCCGGGGCTCCTCAGATCCACAGCAGCCCTAGGCGGTCGCCCTTTCCTCTCCAAGTCCCCGGGTCTGGGTCGCCCGTTTTCCATTCCGTCCTGGGTCCCTTCCACCTCTTTTCCAGTCGTGGGACTGAGATCCGCAAGCTTGCAAACCTCTTCACCTTACGGTTTAATTTTTTTCGCCATAACTCCCTTCCCGCAAATGCCCCAGAACTTTTAAAAGACGTTTGGGCTTCTCCCTCTTCCCTGGTCCACCAGCTAGGGAGTCAGCTCCCTTCTGTCCAAAGGAAAGCGCTTCCCGGATGACTTTAGGCTAGGGGACCCTGATAGATTGTTTTCTTTGCCCGGCTGGCGTACGGTGGGGGTGGGGGTGTTCTCCAGTCGGTGCACAAAGAGTTAAAAAAAAGAAGTGCCTCCAAACTAGCCTTCCCAAAGGCGCCCCCCCTTCCGTGCTGACCTATCTGGGGGTTCCCCAAGCCTTTGCTATTGTCTCTCCCCGAAGAATGTCAGCACCGCCAATACCAAACTGGATTGCGGGCACGCGCGCGGGGTGGGGGGGGGGGCACCGAAAACCCCTTAAATCCTCTGGGTCGGCTGTAGCTCTCTCTAGGTGTTTTCACACCTCCTTCCCTCGCCCAAGCGCTTAGCCAAGTCCCCCTTTGACCTCACGTGGAGAGTTAGAAAGGATAAATACGGTTCTAACTGGGTTGAGATAGGTTTCACTTGCGATCTATTCTTCTAGCCAGTCCTCACTAGCCTGAGGGCAGGTCGTTTTCACGGGGGCTTCTCCGTGGTCCTTTTCAACCTTGAACTTTGTGCTCCAGCGCTTTCATAAGCAGCAGTCTTGTGTGCGTTCCGAATCGAAAATAGAAAAGACAGCTGATTTTTTAAAAGTATTTTCCCCTGTTTCCCTACGAGCAGTATCCTCAAAAACAGCTGGCATACAGTAGCAGTGATTTATTGTGGAGCCCTTTGGGGGGGGGGTGTAGTTACTGTAGAATTATTTCAGAGTTCTTTTTTTTAAAGGGGGAGGAGACAGAGAGAGATTGCATCGGCAACAACATTGAGAGATACCTGAGAGGGTTAAACACCAGGAAGAAACACCAAAAGAAAAAAATAAAAACTCGAGCATCCCTGTGTTCCAAGTCCCGTCATTGTAAACTTTTCATTGGCTGGTTTCTTTTCTCCTCCCCTTTTTGTGCCCTATATCCTTGCTGGCTGTCTTTGCAGAGTTTCTGTGTCTTGCCTAAATAGATAATGCAGCCATCTTGGTAATTTTATCCCAGAAGTTAGAATTGCAGGGTGGTGCTTTTCTCTTCTAATATTTATTTTTAGTTTGACAAGCCATAGCTATTTGACTTGCCGTGTCTTGTACTGAGTGTCCTCAGTGTCTACCCATGTGCCTAGCCACACTCTCGCTAGTCACCTTTCCTACCCTGTAGTGTTTCTTGTTGTTTAATGGCGTAACAGATGCAGGGAAGCCTGCCCAGCAGGATGATTTTATTGTTATAATTAAGGTCCTATCCACCACAGTGGTGATACATACACTCCGCCCTGTTTATTCCCCCTGGGAAGAAGGGCTTTCTATCTAGGGCGGAGCCACAGTGTTAGGGAGGAGAGTTCATTGTAATTAGTCCACAAGCACTGAGGCTGAGTGAAAGGTTGAGTCAGTTAGCCTTCTCTTGCATGTGTGTGTTGATTCTGCAGGTATCTAAGCTAACAAACAGGGTGTTCACATGCGAAAGCTCAGATCAGCTGTCAGAATGTTTACAAAGACACAGAGGATCCAGTCTCACACAGAATAGGTGTAGATCCAGCAGGCCACCCTGATAGCACTTCATTCTCATGAATGAAGGTGAGCAAAGACAGGACGAGCCAGGATTCTGGTCATGAACTAATTAGAAAAACTCCAGGTTATAGGGAGGATTTGAGAGTATCATATAAGATGGTGAATATGAGTAAGCTCTTCTTTATCCCACCCCTGAACCTCCAAATAATTGAAAACCTAAATATTACATACTCTCGCACTGCATGCAACACACACACACACATGCCTTGTGCCCTCTTGCACATGCATGCTATGCACACACATATGCTGTCATATTTTTATGTGAAAAACAGAGATTTAAGAAGACTGTGTTCAATGTAGAAGCTTAGGAGTAGAAAGTCTTACTAATAGCAGATTCAACGCAACTGTGGATAATTTTATAGAAAGTAGGTTAACTGATTTTCCAGGACTTCCTAGTCCTGGAATATAGTGAGTGCTTCCAAAAGAGAGAGAGAGAGAGAGAGAGAGAGAGAGAGAGAGAGAGGAAAAAGAAAGAAAGAAAATCATTCTATTGTATTTTTAAAGCAAAGAAAGTACAGCACTGGCTGGCTTATATACCAGCTTTCCCTCTTCAGCCTTTTCTGCCTCTCTGTGATGCCTAAAGGAAGGGTATGTGCCTGTTATATCTTGCAGTGAATCTGAAGAGGGTCATAAGCCCATAGAGGAAGGCATGGGAAAGATCACCACTTCTTTTTTCTTTTTTCTTTTTTTTCCACCAACTATTAGCGTTCAGGGAGTGACTTTGACTCAAGTATTACAAATATGCCCTAATTATGCTCAGTGCCCATATATCACTGCAGATGGCTGATAGCCCTTGGTGGGACATTTTTATAAAGTTCAAACTTAATATTTTTAGCAATGTGGAGATTTAAAAGTGAAAATACAAGAGATATTGTATATGCCCTCAGGCATACTTTGTCTTAAATATTATCCTTGGCCAAGTGTGCTGTATAAATAAAGTAGATATTAATAGAACTGGCCAGGTGCCAAGCTCCCAGTATGAATTTTAGCCAAGAATGTATTTATGGGGGTATAAATAATACTGTGTCAACATTTAAAGAAGGGATCTGATTAGTTTTGAATTTCTTCATATTGATCTTTTCACATACTGTTAGTTTAAGACTCAAAGTGGGGTTGTGCTGGAGTTTACTAATAGCTAGCCCAGCAGGAATTAGTGGATGTTGAACGCTTTGGCTATCCCTTTGAAGTTCAGGTGCAGCTACTCAAAAGACACTGTACAAGTCTCTAGAGACTGGGGAAAAAGTAACTGTCGCATCCAAGACTAATCTCAATTGATTTCAATACATGTAAAGACATGGTGGGGAAGGGGAAATAATTTTCTTTTTTTTGTCTATTTTTTGTTTTGGTTGTTGTTTTACGTCTGAGGCTCTCCTATGTAAACAAGCTCTCCCTACCACTAAGCTATACCCCAAACCCTGTTCTGTTGAGATGGGACCTTACGCTGTAGCTCAAGCTGGCATATGCTCTAGGCCATAGGCCATCCTCAAACTCAGGCCCCATCCCCCACCTCCAGTGCTGGGAACACAGGTGTGTGCACCACCATGCTTGGCTCGCCTCCCTGCTTTTCTTCACAACGAAGCAGACACATGTGAGTGAACTCTGGCAGTGCTGTATTCTGCCTTGTCTTCTTCCGGCTCCACATTGGTGTTGCTCGGACAACTGGTAATGTCTGAAAATAGTTGTCACTGTCTTGAGGTGAGAGCTGCTAGTCCTCATTAGACTGAAGCCAGGAATATTCCTGTCCTGTTATAATGAAGAGGGCAGCCTACCCCCTTCCTCCATATACCAAAGGATTATCCAGCCTGTGCAAAGTTTATGTTGCCCCGTGGTGGGAAGCCACAGTTCTCTGGTGTGTAGCTGCATCTTGCTCCGAATACCACTTCAGAAGTAATAGCAAAAATAAAATATCTTTATGAGCAAAGTATATTAAAATAAAATTATCACATAGAGAATAATCAGAATGGAATATGGATTAGGCTACTTTGTATGGCATATATTTTATTATTGTGATATTAAAGCTCCTACATTAGAGACAACCAATTTTCCCATTCATTTACCTTCAGTAATGGGGTTGGGTCCTCATTCACTAGGAATGCCGGTCAGAATCAGTCGAATGCCAAGTCAGCACATAGGGAAAAACAGAGGAATTATCTTGGATTTTCCTATCAAATAGGATAAGCAATTTGTGTTCATGAAGAGTGGAGTCTGCAGCTTGGGCAAGCAAAGACAGTTAATGGCCATGTTGGCTTGGTCCATCTCTTTGAATTAGGTGGACTGAAGTATATAGCCTGGAAAATCACAAGGAGGTTTCCTTTGTAATTCTTTCACATGAAACTAAACATTTAATACTAAGCAATTCCCCTTTTCTGGTACCCCTGTAATTTTCCAAGTGAAATTGCAGGATGTAGAATGAATACCAATGACATGATGGTTTTGAGGAATGTGACTTAGTATTCAATTCATGAATCTGTCTTTCTATACACAGATTGCTGGTCTATTGGGCCAATTGCCCAATGAAGGAGAATATTAGCAGAACACAGTAGTAGCTTTACTTTAATGTGCACTTTTATCTTCTCTCCTGAAAGATTATCTGTGTGTGTTTGTATATGAATGTGTGTCAGAGGGAGGAAGCAGGGCTGGCGAATGAAGACTAGCAGGGACCCCTTGACTTCCGTAATAACTGTTACTAATACCCAACAGACCAGACTTTCATTCCCTCTTTTTGTTTCATTGTGGTCTGCACCACTTCTGATGCCTAACTGTGGTTACACGTGAGTTCCTCTGCATTCTTCTTCAAGATTTCCTTCATTTTCACTTTGCAAACTAGGTGAGAGAAGCCTCAGAAAAAAACAAGGTTTGTACTGGAACACGTAGGTAGTTTAGTTGTCAAGGGAGCCTGCCACCTCTCTGTGAGTAGACCTCCATGTTATAAAGGCTGGGACTTCCCCAGGATTAAAGAACTCGAGGTCCACTTGACCACACCTCTGGGTCTCCACAGCGCCCCCCGTGGTCAAGGCAAGGAGATGCAGGTTTTGAAAGCTGTCTTCTCTGTGGCGGAAAGATGCTGATGAAACCTCCTCCAGTACCTTCCGTGTAAAGATATGAA